TTGAAATGTCCTTACATACTGTAATGTAATGTACTATCAGGTTGAAATGTCCTTACTTACTGTAATGTAATGTACTATCAGGTTGAAATGTCCTTACTTACTGTAATGTAATGTACTATCAGGTTGAAATGTCCTTACTTACTGTAATGTAATCTACTATCACGTTACATCAGTTGATGAGTAGAAATGAAATAACATTCAGATGAACGAACCTTTGGATTTGACAGTTTGTCGAACTGGGGAGTTATGTAAAACAGAAGTCCGTCTCCAGCGCCCTCTAATGTCACTCCACGAATAAAAAGAATGATGAGAATGACGTATGGAGAAATTGCTGACACCCCGATGATCTGTAACCAACGTAAATTAACTTTAAACAGTTGAAAGAGATGTAATAATTAAACCTAAAATACTAGAGATTATAAAATGTGCAGAAAACAAGTCTTAAGTCATATTGATTACTGTAATGGTGTTTTATGTCACTAGGTGATCTATCCTTATGATTACTGTAATGGTGTTTTATGTCACTAGGTGATCTATCCTTATGATTACTGTAATGGTGTTTTATGTCACTAGGTGACGTATCCTTATGATTACTGTAATGGTGTTTCATGTCACTCGGTGACCTATCCTTGTGATTACTGTGATGGTGTTTTATGTCAAACATAAAACACCATTACAGTAATCATAAGGATACATCACCTAGTGACATAAAACACCATTACAGTAATCACAAAGATAGATCACCTAGTGACATAAAACACCATTACAGTAATCATAAGGATACATCACCTAGTGACATAAAACACCATTACAGTAATCATAAGGATGGATCACCTAGTAACATAAAACACCATTACAGTAATCATAAGTATAGATCACCTAGTAACATAAAACACCATTACAGTAATCACAAAGATAGATCACCTAGTGGCATAAAACACCATTACAGTAATCACAAGGATAGATCACCTAGTGACATAAAATACCATTACAGTAATCATAAGAATAGATCACCTAGTAACATAAAACACCATTACAGTAATCATGAGGATACGTCACCTAATGACATAAAACACCATTACAGTAATCACAAAGATAGATCACCTAGTGACATAAAACACCATTACAATAATCACAAGGATATATCACCTAGTGACATAAAACACCATTACAGTAATCATAAGGATAGATCACCTAGTGACATAAAACACCATTACAGTAATCATAAGGATAGATCACCTAGTGACATAAAACACCATTACAGTAATCATAAGGATAGATCACCTAGTGACATAAAACACCATTACAGTAATCATAAGGATAGATCACCTAGTGACATAAAACACCATTACAGTAATCACAAGGATAGATCACCTAGTGACATAAAATACCAATACAGTAATCACAAGGATAGATCAACTAGTGACATAAAACACCATTACAGTAATTATAAGGATACGTCACCTACACTAGGTGATGTATCCTTGTGATTACTGTAATGGTGTTTTATGTCACTAGGTGATCTATCTTTGTGATTACTGTAATGTTGTTTTATGTCACTAGGTGATCTATACTTATGATTACTGTAATGGTGTTTTATGTCACTAGGTGATCTATCCTTATGATTACTGTAATGGTGTTTTATGTCACTAAGTGATCTATCGTTGTGATTACTGTAATGGTGTTTTATGTCACTAGGTGATCTATCCTTATGATTATTGTAATGGTGTTTTATGTCACTAGGTGATCTATCCTTATGATTACTGTAATGGTGTTTTATGTTACTAGGTGATCTATCCTTGTGATTACTGTAATGGTGTTTTATGTTACTAGGTGAGTAATCATAAGGATAGGGAAAACACCATTACAGTAATCATAAGGATAGATCACCTAGTGACATAAAACACCATTACAGTAATCATAAGGATACGTCACCTAGTGACATAAAACACCATTACAGTAATCATAAGGATAGATCACCTAGTAACATAAAACACCATTACAGTAATCACAAGGATAGATCACCTAGTAACATAAAACACCGTTACAAATCACAAAGATAGATCACCTAGTAACATAAAACACCATTACAGTAATCATAAGGATAGATCACCTAGTGACATAAAACACCATTACAGTAATCATAAGGATAGATCATCTAGTGACATAAGACACCATTACAGTAATCATAAGAATAGATCACCTAGTGACATAAAACACCATTACAGTAATCATAAGAATAGATCACCTTGTGACATAAAACACCATTACAGTAATCATAAGTATAGATCAAAAACACCATTACAGTAATCATAAGGATAGATCACCTAGTGACATAAAACACCATTACAGTATCCTTAAGGACACGTCACCTAGTGACATAAAACACCATCACAGTAATCACAAGGATAGATCACCTAGTGACATAAAACACCATTACAGTAATCATAAGGATAGATCACCTAGTAACATAAAACACCATTACAGTAATCAT